AATTGAGTCAAATTTTTTGTTACTAGTATAAAAATCATTGAATTTTAATATACTAAACTTTTAGAATTTTTAAACATAATCCTGATTTTTTATTAATTTTTAATTAAACCCAATTAATTTTTTAATTTTTTATAAAAAAATAATTCAAAACTTTAGCTCTTATCTAAATTTTTTTCTAATGATTAAAAAATTACTAAAAAAAACACACCATCTAGGCTAACTAACTATTTATTAAGTTTTTGAAAAGTTTCAAGGCTGTAGCACCTCTCTGCAAGCAGATATAGATGCGGGAAAACTTTGTCTAACACTGTAATAAAATATTTAGTTAAATTCCAACAAATATTATATATATATATAATATATATAATAAATTATAATTGTAGTCAATTAAATAAGACCTGCAAGCTAACGATAAGCAAAATCTGCAGGTAGGATAAAATGTTGACTTTAAAAAATTTTTTTGTTGCCCACATGAAAAAACATCCCGTAATGAAATACGACAGGATATTTAAAATTCATAGAGGGCTTATACTTCATTTGAAAATATAAGAAATTCATACCATCACAAATTGTTGGCACATTTATAAAATATTATTGTACAATATGTTAGAATCTTTATGGAAAACGGAATAAATAAATGATAACAAAATTTATTTTAATTATATATACGATCTAAGATAAGGAATTTTTATTTTATTTTATTTTTTGCTGGTTAAAGAGAAAGGCTATCAGAGTATGGCAAAGTGCCGACATCGCCGAGTGCAACTGCAGTAGGTTTACACTTAAGAATCTTTGCTGCAGTCTATTTATTCACGAAAGACTTAGTAAACACACTGATATTTATTAAAAAATGAGAGACGCAAAAAGAAAACCAAACTTCTGAGATTAAATTTATTATCTTATCGGATTCAGCACCTAAAAAAATTTTTTAAGAGCCGAATCCGGTAAGGTTATAGACCTCAGAAAATTACATACGCTTTGAATGTCTTCGACTTTGAAACGATCAAATTGGGCAAGAACTTCGGTTAAAGTAGTGACTTTTCCCGAAAATAAAATCTATAAATTTAATTATTAATATTAACAAAAAAACGATAATCAATTTATTAAGAGTTTAATCTATTACGACAGGATTACCTGGTTACCGAAAATTTCTGTTTTAGAAGCGCGTGTCTCATAAGAAGCAGCAGCATTAAAACGAGCCTTTGCTAAAGCTCGCGCGAAATCATCTTTTGAAATCTTATTTGCGGCATGTTTTAATTGTTCGACAGCGGAACGAGCAGCAGAATATACAGACGTAGTTATTCCTGAGATGTATACACCAAAAAGACCGGCATCCGAATATCC